CCCCCCCCCCGGCATGTATTACTCCGTACCGCTACCCGTACCGGTACTTTTGACCCGACTCCCGAAGCCAGCCAACAAGCCATCATCATGAATTGATGGATCAGTCCTCTTCACAAGCCGTCCTACCCGTTCGTGCGTGTGTACTTGTACCCGACCATGATGCCATTGAGAATCGACAACCATCCATGCATCATGACGAGCAACGACTGTTCCCCCGCATTGGTGCGCATAGCACGGGCTATCATTATGTATACTACTACTGCCTAGTATGTACTGTACATGATGATGACACCATGTATTCTGTAGTATCCGACAAACACGCCTGTCGCTTGGTCCTCATGATACCTCATCTTGACCGGATACACAGGACACGTATCATGCAACGACACACATGCTTTAACTATCTGGATGAAGCGAGGAAGTTTAAGAGACAAGATACCAAAGGAAAAATTTAAAAAAAAAAAATTGGAAAATAAAGAAAATATAAAGAAAATCGAAGAAGAGAAATTGTCCCCAGCACAACTCTTGTAATACTCCCATGCCTTGCAATTTCTCTTCCCCTCCCCCTCTCAACCCTTACACATGATAATATCGTTCCTCCGAGATCAACTCTTTTTTTTTCTCTTTACGCATCAATGAGGTTCTCCTCGGCCTGCTTCTTGTTGGCGGCCTCGACGTCGGCCCTGGCCTTGCCCTTGGCCTTGGCGTCCTTGTGCGCACGCTGGTAGTACTCGTTGAGCACCTTACCGGGGATACGGTTGAGCAGCTCCTTCGGGTAGATGCGGAGGAGGCTCCATGCGAGGTCGAGAGACTCGTAGATGCTCCTCGACTCGTACGCGCCCTGGGCGATGAACTGGCGCTCAAACTTCTCGAGGAACTCGAGCGACAGCTTGTCCTCGCTCGACAGCGCCTCCTCGCCGACGACGGCCTTCATGGCGGCGGCGTCGCGGCCGATGGCGTACTTGGCGTACAGCTGGTTGGACACGTCGCCGTGGTCGCGGCGCGTCATTCCCTCGCCGATGGCCGACTTCATCAGACGGGACAGGGATGGCAGCACGTTGATCGGCGGGTAGATGCCGCGGTTGTGCATGGCCTGGTCCACAAAGATCTGGCCCTCGGTGATGTAGCCCGTCAGATCGGGGATCGGGTGCGTGATGTCGTTGTTGGGCATCGTCAGGATGGGCACCTGCGTGATCGATCCGTTGCGGCCCGTCACACGACCAGCGCGCTCGTAAATCGTCGACAGATCCGTGTACATGTAACCGGGGTATCCACGGCGACCTGGAACCTCCTCGCGCGCGGCAGACACCTCACGGAGGGCGTCGCAGTAGGCCGAAAGATCGGTAAGGATGACCAGGACGTGCTTCTCCAGCTGGTAGGCGTAGTACTCTGCAGTCGTAAGGGCGAGACGAGGAGTAATGATACGCTCGATACTGTTTTTTTGGGGTTTTTTTTTTTTTTGCAAGAAAAAGTTAGCCGGTCGGTCAACCTGAACAGAGAGACAAGCCTTGCGAGCGCGTGGAATGAGGGAAAACTGACGTAGGGTCGTTGGCAAGGTTGAGGAAGAGGGTGGTACGCTCCAGCGAGCCGTTCTCCTCAAAATCACGGGTGAAGAAACGGGCAGTCTCGAGGTTGACACCCATGGCACCGAATACGATGGAGAAGTTGTCCTCGTGGCCGTCGTGGGTGCCCTTGTTAGTGATACCCTGCTTCTGGACCAGGCCGGCCTGTCGGCAGATCTGGGCGGCGATCTCGTTGTGGGGGAGACCGGCGGCCGAGAAGATGGGAATCTTCTGACCACGGGCAATAGAGTTCATCGTATCAATGGCCGAGATACCGGTCGAGATCATCTCCTCGGGATATTCCTGCGAGGTGAGGTGTCAGTGTGGTTCCTCTCTCCTCAGCTCTTGCTCTTCTTCGTCCTTCCTTCCCGAGACGGCCAAGAGGCCCATACGAGCGGGGAGCAGGTGGGGAGCATTGACATACACGGGAGTAGGGGTTGATGGGGGAGCCGTTGATGTCGAGGTAGTCCTCGGCCAGGACCGCAGGGCCCTTGTCGATGGCACGACCCGAACCGTCAAAGATGCGACCCATCATGTCCTCGGAGACTCCAATCTTCAAGCTGTGGCCGGTGAATTCAACTTTGGTCTGTGTCAAGTTAGCTGCGACGTTTCCCGGCCAATTCCTCCTCATTCAAAGGGCTCCAAGGAGGCAGGTGCTCACCTTCTTGACATCGATACCGGACGTTCCCTCAAAGACCTGGACGACGGCGCGGTCACCTATCGCAACTTGTCAGCATCATAGTATTCCCGTTATTCCCATCCCCAATTCTTTTCTTCTTCTTCTTCCCTCACAACAAGCGTCATCCTTCGTATCGGAATCGTACCTCGGGCCTCGAGGACCTGGCCGGATCGCTCCGTGCCATCAGGCAGAGTGAGCGTCACAATCTCGTTGAATTTGGGGAATTTGACCTAGATTGGGACAGGAGCGCAATTCAAGTCAGCCATCCGTCCATATCCATCATCCATCCTTCCTCATCACACCCAGGATAATCCATACATTGTCGAGAACGACCAGAGGACCGTTGATACCGCCGACGGTATTGTACCTGATCCTCGGCACAATCGAGTACTGGTCACTCATTGCGGCGGTGGGCGATTTTTATGAAGCGGGATTTGCGGTGGATGACGACGGAGGGGGGAGGAGGTGGGCGGCGACGAGACGAGGATTTTCAAGAAAGTCGGAGGGCCACGCTGTCGGACTGGACAGGGACAAATTCAAGATCCGTATTAAGTTAATGCTGCATCACAATGAAGAAGAAGGGGGGAAAAAAAGGGGGGGAAAAGCCAAGTCCTCGAGGTTGGGTTGGACAGATTCCCGTTTTGTCACGAAGCGGTTTCGCAGATTGGGGAAGTTGAGGACAGAGCTGGACCAAACGACGAATGAGGTTGGATTGGCCCAGGAGGCTGAGCTGTGCTTTGATGGAAGGAGGGGGGGGGGGGAAGTGGTCTCTAGTGGAAACGCAACTGTCTTACTGGCTGGAGAGAGCTAACAATCTAGGCTTTTGGTGGATACCCTTCCCAAAAAATAAAACTGACATCACATGACTCGAGGTCGCGTACCTTCGTCGTCCTCTAAGCACAACGAAGTGATAGTAGTATGCAAGGAGAGAAAGATACAGATTACTACACAAAATCGTACAATACAAGCTACAATACAGGCAGATACCTTGGACGGTAGTAGTTTCTAGATAATAAAAGAGAAAGAAAAAAGAAACAGACTGCCACGAATCATCTCTCACTCTCAATTCCCCTGAGCCGCCTCCGCAGCCCCCCTAGCCCTGGCACCCAACACGGCCCTGCCGACGGTACTGGCATTCTCCCTGCCGAGCTCGGCGGAGATCCACTGGCCGATGTCAGCCACGGCATCGAGATCGACGCCGGTGCTCATGCCCAGCGTCTCCATGAAGTAGACCATGTTCTCGGTGGCCACGTTGCCCGTGGCTCCGGGGCTGTAGGGGCAGCCACCCAGGCCGGCGACGGCGCTGTCGAAGGTGCGCACGCCGTGCTCCAACGCCACGGCCGTGTTGACCAGCGACTGGCCGTACGTGTCGTGGAAGTGCATGGCCAGGTCCTCGGTCCTGATGCCCGCGGCCGACAGGCTGCGGAGTAGCATGCCCGTGCGCGGCGCCGTGCCCATGCCCGTCGTGTCTCCCAGCGACACCTCGTCGGCGCCGGACTCGAGCAGGCCGGCCGCCATCTCGGCCACGCGGTGCGGGTCCACGTCGTACCCCTCGAACGGGCACCCCAGCACCACCGAGATGTACGCCCGCACCCGCAGACCCAGCCCTTTCGCCTCCTGGATCACCGCCCTGAACCGGTCCAGAGACGTCTGGATGTCGCAGTTGAGGTTGCGCCGCGAGAAGCTCTCCGTCGCCGCCGCGAAGACCGCCATCTCCACCCCCGGCTTGCTCTCCCCGTCGCCGCCGGGCTCCAGCTGCGAGGAGAACCCACCGGCGTTGGCCTTGAGGATCCCCGCCGCATCCTCCAGCCCCCTGAGGTTGGGCACCAGGAACGAGTACGACACCGGCACCGGTGACGTGCTCTTGTTCTGCACAATGTGCTGGAGTATGTCGCTCGAGTTGGCCATCTGCGAGCGCGTTAGTCAGGCCAGACTTTCCATATCCATATCTCATACCCACACGCATCGGATGTAGCCAGGAAAAACATACCTGAGGAACCCATTTCGGCGAGACAAATGACCCAGCCTCGATCGTACTCAACCCCGTCCGAGTCAACCGTTCAATCAGCTCAATCTTTGTAGCCAACGAGATCGTAGTCTTCTCGTTCTGCAGCCCATCCCTAGGTCCCACCTCGACAATCTTGACCTGGTTGTCCGATACCTGCCGCTGCTGCTGCTGCTGGCTGTACTGGGCTCTACACGTGGTGGTGAAGCTCCTCTGGGCAGCAGCCATGCGCGGGAGCCGCTGCTGCTGCTGCTGCTGCTGCGACAGCCTCCGCATCGGAGCTCGGCTCCAGGTTCTGTAGGCTGTCGTACGGAGGACGGCCATTATCTCGTTTGCGTTCGCGTTCGTGTTCGTATTTCCGTGCCAGTCTCTCTCTCCTTTTTCCCCCTCTTTTTCTTTTTCTTTCTTCTATCTATCCTTATTCTTCTCCTTCTTTTTATCTTCC